CCGTCAGCTCGTCCGAGGTGCAGTGCTCAAGGCTTCGGGCCAAGCTTGCGGCTTAGCTTTCGGTACTCTAAACTCATAATATACTATAGTAAACGTATGCTATGATATATCATAACATACTAGAATATACCATAATATACTACAATATAGTATACTATCGTATAATATACTGTATTATACCATAATATGATAGTATGTCATATAGTCTACCATAAACTCCAAACCATCTGGCTCAGGGCTTGGAGTAGGGGTGGAAGCTTTGAGGTTGTGGAGCTCAGGCTCTCACTTCGAGGGCTTTGGAGTGCATTCAGACCAGGGGTGAGCATTCTTCCAAATAACATGCGCCTACCCCCCTCCCCAAGAGGGGTATACTAGTATTACCATTGAGATTTTAGGGGAGCATAAGCTCGGAACCCCAAACCGTGTCAAGCGTGCGGGAATGTATTGGGGGGAGAGAATTACAACAGCCCAGGACTTCCTTGTTGGAGGACTCCAAGGGAATACTCAAGATCCTAGCCCTTGTAGCTTCTGCGGGTGATTTTGGGAACTCCCTAAGCCCGTTACGTCAAGGCGATTTTGCATGAGAGGATTGGGGGCTTCCTCCGACCCTGCTTGACGGAGTGAGGAAGTTCATATCAGGTCCCACAAGTTGAAGTTTATCGTTTGTGGTCTGAATTACTTGGAGCGCCGTGGCTTAGTTACAACTCCTTTCCTCATTAATCCAAAGTGCTGATTCTTGCTGGAATGCCGGGAAGGGAGTTTCCAACGGCAGGGAGCTTACATAAAAGGCAGAAACGGCTACGCAGGGTCATGGGCACTGCTACAAGGGGTATACAACCAGTTGCCTGCTACTTTCCAAATCCGAACGTTTGTTCTCGAGGCACCAGGTGACCAGCACACTGTTCAACAGCTTGCCACACCTGCAATAGCAGGGATGGTGTTGTTTTTTCACCTGGTTTAAGGTCAAGAATACACGGTGCGGGATTTATGGATTGGTTTAGGGACTCAAATTGAAGGCTGGCAAGGCTCATAGGGGTTTGGGGCAATTGGGTCCAGGCCCCTATAGCATCTGCTGGTTCTCAAGCTGCTTAAAGGTTTTGGGGTTTCTAGCAGGGCTGTTGTGCAGCCCCATGACTTTGACGGCCGCCAAAACCCCATCAGGTATTTCTTGTACGACTTATACGAGTCTATATCTAATAGAAACATTAACAAAACCGACAACTTGTTCAAGCACATTTAAAAAATGTATGTGGACGATATCAACACCTGTCAAGCATGGAAGATCCTGGTTCCCTTCTGATTCAGATATTTTCTGAAAAGCTTTCCGCTATCCTTCACACCGCTACCTCACACCCTTCTAGGCTGCATGTTGTTGATCTGATTTTCCCTGTCATTGGCTCGAGCTCCATACTCCAGTTTTCAAACTCACGACCAATCACTCCTGGATTCCCGTTGTACATTCCTCGTAGGTCCCTGCATGGAAGTATGTGATAGAGCATTTGCATGAAGCAGTGCTTCCTGCTGTAGCTTCTTCTAGTCCATGCTGCTAGCTTTTTTGGGGTGGTTGAACCAAGAAGCATTGGTCTCTTGGGACAAGCTGTTCTTATCAGAAAGATGCGGGGGGGGGCTATAGTACATAGTACTTCCATTAAGAGTACTACTCATGCAAGGACTCGCAGTTTCAAAAGAAGTAAAACACAGGCCTGAGCATAGGTCATGGGCGAGCGGTCGCCATGGCGAAGGCAAACATGCTGCGGGCGCCTCGGCAGGTTCTGGAGTGAGGAGGTGTTCTGTAACCTAAAACCGGATATATAGATATATATATATATACGTACATATATATGTATCTATAAGTAAGATTTGGGGCTTGTCGTGCTTAGCAGGGACGGGGAAGTGTAAAAGAATGGAAGCCGCAACTTCACAAGCCAGATGCAGCCTGGAGCACGGAACAACTCTCACGCCCGCAAGCCCACATGTCAGTGCTTGGGATCTGCAAGATGGTTAGACCTCGCGACCTAGGGAAAAAATGACTTTTCTGTGAAAACTGAGCTGTTGCTGACCAGCAAGTTGTCTGTTCACATCCAAGCGGGCCCCCATTCACAACAAGAAAGGCTGATTTCGCCCCATCTGGTACCTGCGAAGCCCTTGGGAACCTAAACCCGAAACTTGAATTCTAAATACCATCCAGAAAAGCGCATGGGAGTTTCCCAAACAGGGGCCCTCAGGCCCCCGGAGATGCTAGTAGAAGGAGAAATTCCTGTGTGACACCAAGCCACCAAGTCAAATGCAAAGGCCTCCACGTCTGCTTTGAAGTTCCAATGAACAGCAAGTCTCGGGCTTAGGGTTTAAGGCTCATCCTCATACCTACTAATCTCAGCTGTTATAAAAGCAGAGACGTCTCCCTCGGCTTCTGCCGTGCAATGCATCTGGGTATGTACGATCCTCCTTACATATTAGCCGGAGACTCCAAATCGAAACCAAACCCTCTGAAAACGAAACAACAGACAGCAAAGCCAAACCCGTTTAGATTGGACCCCTAGGTAAATGGAGGGCTGTCCAAAGTGCCTCCTCTTCGTGGATGTCCTGTATACATGGCCCTGATGTTTATAGACTGAAGATGGAGGCATATTCCAGACAACCACATCATTTTCCAGGGAAATGCAACCCCTGAACCTACCAGTGATTTTCGCAGGCACTGGATGGAGGACTGGGTTAGGGACTATCATCGCAAGCAATATACTAGGTAAACCTTAAACTCTTCTACAAGTATAACCCTTGCAAAGCGCTTCTTCAGGCAAATCGCCGCGCGGCGCTTGCTTCTACCAAGCCGTGGAGAGTAGGCATTGGGAACTCCTCTGCGTTTCACGGTTTGGGGCTTATTTAGGGCTTGGAGTTTTGCTTACTGTCTTGAACCGTCAAAGCTCATGGTTTCTTATCTAGGTGCAGGGCTCTTTTGTTGGCACGTTCCCAAAACTGGGGGGGCCTTCAGGGACCCCAGAATTATGTGGAGATGAGCAAGACATTCCCCGATGATGAACATTTCTATCAAAATGTTGTGGTACTATGTTGGGAAATGTTTATTGGTAGGGGTTAGGGAGAAGGCAAACACTGAACCTGATGGGAGCTTCTATGTTGTTTTCCACTCTCCCTAAACCCCTACCCCTGTATACCCAGCTATAGATATATATATATATACATATATACCTGGTTTACATTTGATTCTCCACTCTCGCTAAACCCTTACCCTCATATACTCCTAGATAAACCCAGTGTCCTTTTGTTTCTGCGAAAATGGCGAAAACCCTGCCCATTTAAAAGAACGTATGCTCCAGTTTTCATCCCGAGTCTGCGTTCTTTTCCATGTGATTTTCCTTCTTGGGAGAATACTGCAACCCTGTCCTCTGAGGGCAAGGTAACCTCCCAAAAGCAAAGCTCTCTACTTGGGTCCAAAAAAGCAGCTGGCGGACACCAGTCAAGGAATGCTGCAACCACATGAGTGATGAAAGGCTTGGAGTTCCGGCTTAGCGCTGAAGGTCCAGGGGTTTAGGGCTCAGAGCTTTGAGCTTCAATAATTGTGAACCCCCTTTCAGATGCTTTTTGGGGAGTTCCAAAATGGTTTCGGGGGTAGGCTGGCATGACGCTACTTGTTGAGACGTGCCTTACCTTGGGGCTTGGAAGAAGCCAACCACAAAGCCCGACTTGCAAGAAACATGACAAGATCCATGAATAAGAGCGTCTTGGGGTGTATGATACAGTGGATACATAGAGATTACTAGGGCATAGTGTAGTGAGTAGTTATTCAGGCTTGTACATTGGCATGCCAGAAATGGTCACATGACTAAAAGGAGGTCCTAATTTCGGGGAGGCTGGGATTACCGAAATTTGGTGGATTGTACAAAACCAGCATCATCACGATTCATGCTGCAAGCGAGAAACTCTGATTACTCAAGCGGCAGGCCCTTAGATCCAGTCTAAAGCTTTCCCCTAGAGGCAAAACTGCAACTCCGCACCTATACTTACTGGGGCTTAGTAGGGAATAAGTGGATATATTATATAGGGACCATATAAGGATTATCTTCCCTTCCTCCCTACTAAGAACCAGTAAGCAAATCCTCCACCAGCCCAAATCTGGCACCTGTACAGCAATGTAGGATAACCTTGAATCCGGGGTTTAGGATTTAGGATGTAGGGTGCTGAGCATCAAGGTAAGTGCAAGACTACCACACCCTCACCACAACTGCAAGTCTTGGTCAAACCATCCGCTTGGCGGAGTGGATGCTAGCTCATGTAATAGGTTCCCTAACAACCTCGCCATTCTTCATTGGGTTCCCCCTTAGTCAGGCTCATTGTGGGCTACGTATAGCAAGTTCTGGAGGAACTTTAGGGGGGTTAAAAACGGGGGAGCTAGGGAACCCATGATCATGGAGTGAAACCGCAGCCAGCCAGGATCTAAGGCTTGCATGAAGATCAGCATTTGCATTGCAGGTTTGGGGCGGTAAGCTTGAGCATTTTGGGGCAAGTGAGGGCGTCTGGAGCTTGAGGCTCACAGGATATGGAGTTGTTCAAGACATGTTTGAGGCCAAGAATACCCCTTAAACACTAAATGCTCTATCCTCGACCCTAAACCCTCAATCCCGCACCCTGATCCCTGCGTTCCGCAGCCTGGCTAGAATATGAATTTAACACTTTGGGTCTGGAAGGTTCAAGCTGTGGCCTGGCGGGCTTGAAGTTTGTCCTCTTTCAGTTTCCAGAGGAATTTAGGGCGTAGGATTAGGGAAGGATCTATGGTCAGAGCTTCGCCTGCTCACTAGGATTTGGTCGAGAAGCCGAATCGTAGGGTTCCCGAACTGCAGGAAAGAGAGGCACTCAGATCCACGCCGACTGGCAAATAAAGGTAGCGGCCCTCTAGTTGAAAATTGAGCTGCAAACTAGGCTGGTGCTAGCACACAAGTACAGGCGGAGAATGCAACCATCACACGCAAAAGTGCACTCGGGAGACCTCACGACGACGCCTTGGCCTGAACTGGGGAGCTTGAGATTCTTTGACAAGATTTCTGCTCTACAGCTTCCGCTATACCCGTCTGCGTCACTGAATCACTGATCAAAGCAAAATCCCATAATGCATCCTGTTTCCATGCTCCAACTTCTCATCCTTCACTTATGTTCCTCTGGCTGGTAGCCTGTGGTACCTTGTAGGTCAGGAAGGCTAAGCGCATACAGCCTTGCGCAAATCCAGAACCCCAACGAAGTGTAAGACAGGCTTAGCATCAGTTTGATTAAGCCGATGTGCGGTGTCTGGGGTTTAGGGTTTCTAAATGGGATGAGGCTCGTGATAAAGGCATGACCGTTGCAGCGGGCAACTGGAGGTTGCGTCACATTGTTCCGTGCCACCCCGAAACAACACTCACAAATATCACGACGACCCCCAGTACGAAAAAACCTGGCATGTGGCGAGTGTCTCGAAAGAAGGTACCCCTAAGAAAGGTCACTACGAGCGATTGTAAGGGGGCTCTTCGGGATGTCTACAGGGATGATTCATTAGACATGCGCTGATATGCTGAGGAACTAGACTGTTTTATTAAATGACTTTCTAGAGTTCCTGCTTAAAGTATGAGTTTTCCTCAAAGATTGTGTCCATGGTCATGCGAAAGAGCAGATAGACTGCCTGTCTGCTCCTGTAAGTGTGTGTCTTACATGGTTTTGGGGTTGTTATTGTTGTTTTCGTCCTTGCTGAAGCTCTTGCTGTAATCTTGCTGTACCAATTCCAACTCTGGAGGCTTCAGCACAGTAGGGGCAAAGGGCGTAGGGTTGAAGCGACTCCACCTTGGGGGGGTCCCAGTCCCTCACCCCGGAAATGCTTTTCAGGAAATCTATGCCATGTTCATCGACGTTATTACATGGGTCTACTCCCCGAATCCCCATTAGGCCACAGGATGCGAGGGAACCAGCAAAAACCAAAGGTCTGAGAAAGCTGCATGGCCATGATATAACGACCGCCTGGAGCATGATGTGTTCCAGGGTCTAAGGCTTCAAGTTTAATGGTTGGGTCTCTAACCGCGCAGAGGCCTGCGGGGTTGTATCTCTACTGTGTGAGAACCACACACACTCCCTGCAGGTTCACTGCAAACAAAGTTTGATGCAGCAGAACATACCGCAAACTGCCCCCGTTGGCAAGGCTTCTTGAATCCACGAAAGTATGGTTTGCTTTCAGATGACGTACGGAATAAGGGGGACACTCACCTTGAGGTAGGAACAGGGATTCCGGGTATACATCTTCAACGAACTGCCTCCAAGGACTAAGTATGGAACAACAGAAATATGTTCAGACTCAAAACAGGGGCTTAAACAGCTGCTAGCATCGCTCCTTCATCTTCTTTGCCTGCTTACCCCTTGAACTGCTGCTCGTCAAGTCCGACGCGCCAGTTCAAACTGGACGGACGGAGACGGAGGACTTTTCCCACAGAAGCTAAACATGAAAGCACTGAGCTATCAACTATCTGGAGTGGATCCCGCAAGAACCAATGATTCAAGGAAACATGGGTTGTACTTTCAAGGACCCGAGAGCTACTAGTGAAAAAGCCCCCTTACAAAGCAATACGGGCGGTCATGACATGTTGATAGCTGCCTAGCGTGTGTACTTCAATTATTTTCAATCTTCAGTGGGTCTGAATTTTCTCCTGCCTCGCACAGGGTTTGGTTCCCAATCCGGAAACTTGGAGCACAAGGGTATTCTCTAGCTTTTCTCCCATCAATTCCGGTCAGACAAGGCCCCACCGGGCGGAACGAGGAGGTCGCTCCCTCACTCACTCACCCACTCAGCCGCACTTGTTGTTTTCGAAAGCATGCAGAACGAAGAAAAGGCGTATTCAACACTAGAGTCGAAACTGGCTGAGCATGGCCTGAACTCTGAACCCTCAACGCTTCACCACCCGAAACTCACCCTGAAGCTCACACGCTACACCCTTGACCCTAGACATTTCACCCTAAACCTTCTACCCTCAAACCTACAGACCCTGAAGGTAGCCCGTACACTCCAATCTGGCCCGCCTATCGTGCTTCACGACTTTAGGCTCCTTCAGCTCGGGCGCTGGCCGCATTGCCGCAACCAGCCTCAGCATCGGGGCGAGGGTCTACGGTTTAGGACTTAGGCTTTAGGGTTTAGGGCTTAAGGTTGAGAATTTACACATGTATCGTTATGTTTACACCCACATTCGTTTGTGTTTGGGATATATGTACATGTGCAGATACCTTAAAGGTAATTCTCGGGAAGCATAGATAGACAGACAGGCAGACAGACAAACAGCTAAGACAGACAAACAGACAGACTAGATAGATAGATAGATAGATAAAGGCGGATACGTACGTAGATACACAAGTGGATAGGCAGATGAACAACAGTACATGCACAGGTAACCAGTAGACACAGATACATACTCTATCTGTGTGATTATAGATGGCGGTGAGTATGTGTTTAGCTTTTGCTTCTAGATCCCAAGGACCCTAACATCTTGCGTACACTCTATTTGAGGTGTGGATGACTCTCATTTTCACTTCAAGCAGATCAAGTTTCATTCGAGAAGTGCGACAGGTTGCGGGACCTTCTCAATACCTCAACGGTCAGTGTAGAATGTTGTTAACATCCAGTCGATACTGAGCATGGTTCCGGAAGGCTGCTCCTGTCAATGTGCTAGGAGTTTCCACTGGTTGTTGTTCCTGCGCGCTGGAAACTCTGCCTTGGTCTTGAAAGCGTTCTCTCAATGTTCAAGATATAGAAAGATGTTCGAAAGTTTCTCCCAAAGTTGGTAACGACTCCTTCTCTCTTTAACATGATGACGACTCAAGAACATGTAATGATGTCAACGGTTGTGACTTAGGACAGCCGGCCGAAAAACACCCGTCTTCTTTGTGTGAAACTTTCTCGAGTCTAACCCCATATAATCCGTGATGCGGAGCCCCTTGTAATCCCTCTAAAACGTCCACATGTTTGTTGGGGTTAGGAAAAGAGCTAGAGTCTTGGATCATTTCTGTGGACTGCGGCTTTGAAGTGGGCGGTTGAGGGTGTTTAGATGGGTTTAGGTCTTGGGGGTTTTGGCTTTAAAGCTTCGAACTTTGGTATCTTTGGGATCTGGATTCCTTCAGGTTTTTAGAACAAAGAAGATTTCAGGTGTTGGGGCTTTTATGGTTGGGGTTAGGCCAAGCCTGGCCTAGAGTTAAAGACCATCAAGCGACGGCAGGCCCCGCGGAATCTGTAAAAAGAAAGCCCCAGCAGCGACAGGGATTCGGATCTTGCAGTGTGATGTAAGGAACTGTTTCGTTTGCATGGAATTCTGGGGCAGGCTTCACTAAAACTGTTCAGGCTTCTAGAATATCTTTAAGGCAGGTCTAGTTCGCGATTGGGGTAAAGGGCTCAGGGAGTTGTTGGATTTGAGCTCCGCGGGAGACCCAAAACACAAATTGGCACTGCCCCACCCTACCAAAGCCTTAGTTGCTCGAGTTGCAGTAATATTATACCCTTGATCACGGTCCTGTCAATGACTGTTACAGGGTCTGGGCAGCATCCAATGTACAGGTATTAGATCATCCAGAAATAAAACTATTCTATTCGGATGCGAAGTGCCAGTGCTCTATCATGCACGAAAAAGTCTCACCAACTATGGACTCTAGCCATGCTAAATCTGTAGTCCTCTAGATTGGATCCGCCAGGACCTGAGCTTATGCTAATCGACAGTCGCTCGAACCTCTGGATTGTGATCTCTGCCCGCTTCAAAACAACATTGTAGGCAGCTAAGGAGCCAATCTCTTGAAGCGAAACCTTATCGCAATGAATTCTAGATCTCTGTTGACATCTTAGCCTTCCGCTGCGAAGCCTCAACCCTAATTAGAGCACCCTTACTCCCTGGAGGAAGAAGTACCAATGTGTTAGGTAACCCCCATTTAGAGGCACATTGGATGCTCTTGGTAAACTATGAAGCATAAATCTAGACTCTAGACCTGAGCAGCAGCGGGACCAAAACCGGACCCTCGCACCTTTTGGATTCTAATCTTCACCTGTTGCCCAAAGAACTCTGAACAATCCCAACTGCGACCTCAAACACAGAATTGCAAGGTTGTGGGCGTAGGGCGGAGCGATCGGGATACAGCAGAGTGAGAATTGTGCATTGGAAGCCCACGTAAGGTGATGTAATTTGTTTGGAATGCAGAGGGAATGGACGCTGAATCCTAAACCTAGATCATGGCATTCTGACACCTGGTCCAGAGGGCATACATCAGTTGTCACAAAAGAATCAGGAACCACCTCAGGACTACAAAGAAAACACCCTACACCTCAACTTCTCCCCACCCTGGCGTAGTACATGTGGAGCCAGGACCCTGGAACCCATATATGCCTGTAAACCTACAGTCCGCATGTCCTCTTCCATGTCACTGTTCATTAATTCTCAATTCTTCTGATTGTGTAGGCCCCTGCATAAGATCCCTAATTAACCGCTATAGAACCCCAATGTTCATTCCACTTTGATTTTATTTCCCCTTTGGTTCTCCCTGTTCTACCCGAGCTCCACTTGCAGCTGAGGAACTTGTCTAGGGCCTGGCGCTGGTACTCATTCTGTCGCATGTCCATGACCTTGCAAAAGGTAATGGAGATAGTAGGGACTGGAAAAGAAAATGGAGACTACCACAGCGTCCACTGTTTGGCGCTGAAACAGGTGCGTGATGTAAAGACTACCTTGGGGTATAGGCGGTCTTACGAGGGCCTAATAATCAAAGGTTCTGCTTTGAAATGGATTTTTGGTCCTGACTGGGATCCTTCTAAAGCAGCTGCAGTCCTGACCTTGGAACACATCACAAGGAAGGGGCATGTGACGAAGCAAATGGAAGCTGCTGCATCATAGAAGGCTCATGGCTTATGTAGGGTCTAGGGATGGTTTATGGGAAGTCAAGGAATGGGTTTAAAGGGTCAGGAGTGCTTTAGGGATTCATCTTTACTTACCAAAAAACCCACAAATAGCCCAAAAAAGGATGTAATCAATGGCCTGCGCCTGTGGGCTTCCTACTGCAACATCAGGATTTACATGCCCATTCTGCCCAGTGAATGTGAATGTTTGTGCTCATACGGTCTTAAACACCCCATACAAATCATGAAATTACATCTTGGACTTGAACGCGGGCATGAGCATGGAATATTGAGGTTCAGGGCTTAAGGTTTTGGATGGCTTACATGGCTGCGTATGAGGTTTCCAAAATGTGTCAATCCCTTCAAGATTACAAGGACCTTCCGAGAAGAGTTTCGGGCTCGGCTTGGGAGCTTCAGAGTTGGGATCAGGGTTTGCCTTTGGACCTCGTTGGATGCTACCCTCAACTCGAATCCCACTACTTGAAGCCCTGAGCCCGGGAGGGCGCTTCAGGGTTAACGATTCTGGGTTTGAGGTTGCAAAAATCGAAGCCAATCCAATAGTTTCTAAAAGCAGCTTTGTCAGCTGCAAATTTTGAATGCTCTGCTTCAAAGGATGCCCCTTCCTCAAACCATCTGAATTTCTCAAGCCCGAACCCATCATTTTGATACGATGCTCCCTGAAACCAATTACATTCGTTCTGGACACCAAACCCTAAACCCTTGTTTGAAAACCTTAAACCCTAAACCACGTCCAGGCTCCCTGAACCCTAAACCTCGTTACTCTCAACGACACAAAGCCTCCGGAGCCCTCTGATTTCCTCCATCCCAGTTCAAGCTTGATTGATTGATTGATCCCAAATGGGTCAATTGCTTATGGCCAAGGGTTTTAAGGTTTAATGTCTGGGGTTTCAAAAATGCCCTGGGTGACTGCTGTTAGTCCGCTCCGCCTACTAGCCTTAGTAGCCCCCACCCCACCCCCTGCTGAGAAAGATGCCCTTCATGCAGAATGTATGGTATTGGGAAAACTAATGATTATGATTAGGGGTAAGGCGGAATGTTCAGGCAGGAATTACAACTTGCGAGGGGTCGTTGGGCAACTAGAATCGCAGCAACAGTGAACCAGTGACCGTCATTGCACTTGAGTACTGTTGGGCTCTGAAGTACAGTTGACGACGCAACGCTTCTGACCCAGTTGCGGGATCCGACTCTGAATGACAAGCCTTATCTCATTGCCACATCTTGCGCCGCTAAAAGTTTTTCAATTGACATAAGCTCCATGTTGTGAGCTTTGATCAAGGGCATTCACGTAACTGCGCAATTAGCTTCAGGTTTAAAGTTTGAAAACACAACGCCACAATTGCAAAACTGTAAATCGTAAAGCCTAAACCAAAAGACAACAGTTCAAAAACCTCTCAGCACTACTTCAAACCGTGCCTGCTGGTAGGCGTACTTGCACTCTGCATCCGCCTCCATTCGCTCAGTGAAAGGCATCCTGCAGTGCGAGCTTCAAAAAAGGGACACCTGTTCAGGACCCTGAAATGGGTTCAGGGTGCATACACGTATAGAATTAAGAAACATAACATATTTGGATTGTATGCATCTATTACGGATTTGGGGCTTTCTCGAAAAAAGTGTAATGCAAGTGCGTAAATGATTTCAACCTATTTTGGGTGACATTTTACGACAGTTACAAGAGGAGTGTCAGGGACAACTGTTCAGGCTCCAGCATCAACTTACAGCAAGCGTCCCGGGCCGTTCTAGCAAAAGGAGGAGCCCCAGGAAGCTTCCCCCTCCCTTCTGCCTTCGCTGGGCATCCTGCGAAATGTGCCAATGCTCCACAGGAGAACTGCATTCGCAGTTAAATTTCGCAACGCTCTATGCAAGAGGTCAATTTCAAGTCAAAATTTTGCGAGGAAGCTCCACGCCATAGCTGGATTGCTGGCGAAAGTCCGGGCCCGCTCCACGCAAAAGCTCAACTCCCCTGGCTTAGACTCTTTGACCCTGATGTACTTGCTAGTCCTCAATTAGGTTTGTCTTGATCCGTATTTCTGCGCCATATCCTGTCCGGCAAGGGGTATCTCCTGTTCTTGGGTGTGTAGACGATTTAGGGAAGCTGTGGTTGCTGGCGTCATACAAACGTCCCACACAGTACCCGTGTTTGCCCTAAATCCTCCCGAGAAAAAATGAAACTTCTGAGGCTTCGCTACAGCTCCGTGAAGTTCTTGACAGTGAACTGGCTCCACACCGGCTTCAGTAACGCCATGTACCAATCCACATGACTTCCCGATCTTGCGCACCACAGGATAAAGCACTCATGCGCCAGTTCGCGGCAAGTCTCGCGACCAAGCAAAGCAGCGCACATCCTTGTGTGTGTTCGTAACAGTGGTGTCAAAGACATGCTGGGCTTCTGTTGGCATGTACACTGCATAGGGCTGGCAGGCAGGTAGGCCCAGAAACGTGAAGAAGCCGAAGTACACCACAAAAAGACCTTGCCAGCCTGGTGTCGACATCTCTGGGACCATTGGACATATGTTGGCCATGCAAAATGACAGGTCGGACCTGATGAAGGGACATGGCTCGAGAGCCCATCTCAAACGTGACCATGTGGTAGAGTGCATCCCGGCATGCGCTTTGGCAGCCTAGGCCCACGCTCGCTGGCAGGATGCAGTCTGTCAAGTGGGGTTTGAGCATATCCGGCAGCAATTTCACCGCCTGTCATGCGAATCAGACTGCACGGGTGTCTTGGTTGGCTTTGTCTGGACATGTTTCCAAATGCTGTGCGTTATCCCAGTGGCCGCCTGCGCATCATGAAGAGTGCAAGATAGCAGACTGACTGACGTCTGCTTGCCTTGGAGCCATAAAGGAAGCATACCTGAACTTGCCAGGGTGTCACAGTTTCTGTTGGGCCATGCGACCACTCGATTCGACTTGCGATGCTCGTCGAACCGCCCTTCTTTCTAGCTAGCGGGTGCGCTTCCCAGACCCATGCAAGCTTTACCCGGAAGCGTTCCTGGATGACATCGCATGTTCGAGCTCGCTTACTGTAGCGCGCGACATGTTGATTAAGCTCATTTACCATGGCTAGGCGATGTAAGATGTATCCGAAGTTCATTGTGTCCACGACGTTGCCGCTATACTTACTCCCTTGACACGCGCGCTGCGTAAAGAGAAGGCGCAAGTGACAAATCCCCAGCCCAACCGCTCATGCTCATGCCACGTGGCGCACAGATTTACTCCAGTTTGGATTTCACCGGCACCGTACAGCCGAAGCTGTCCTTCAAGGTGACCTTCCGCGGGCCCGCAAACTTCCAACAACCAATTCACCAGGGGCGGAAAGCCCAGCCCAAGCCTTTTTCTTTTCTTGGTAACGGGCTTTGGTATTGCAGATGATTGTTTCAGCGACGCTCGACAGCAAGCAACTTCTTGCGCAACAATAAACATTTTGCTATGACATGGTCGCTGCGCCTGAAGACTGTTCTTGTTGAGATTGCAGCGCTGCTGGAAGGCTGAAGCTTCCAGTCAAGGCGATTTTCTTCGACCTAAACCGTAAGTTCTAAACGCAGAGCTCCATTGCCGCAAACCCACAAGCGGCGGCACTGTAAGTTTTTGGACTTTCGATTGAAGGTGGGAAGGTTGAAGCTTGAAATCTTAAAGGAAATCTAGAACGAAAGATAGAGGTTTGAGGTGTAAGTAACAGTAGCCACACTACACTTCCCAAACAAGCATGCAACCTCAAAAGGAGACTGCAAGGACTTGTACACTTGAAAAGCAATCTTATGCTTGTCTGGTGAGGGTTTAGGGTATGTTTGACTGGGGCAGGTCAGCGGTGAGGTTGAAGCCTTCGACAGGGCCTTCAGACAATTGAGATGCCCAGGAGGCTATCAAGATGATTTGCATGAAGGCCCCTACACTCCCAAAGCAAACTTGCAACTCAAAACAAAAGCCTTTGAAAACTTATGTCCTGTGTGGAGGGACCCTTTGAAACCAGTGTTCAACCTCCATGTGCACTGCTGTCTACAACCATTAACCCCAAAAACCTGCACCCCATTGAACCCTAGCCCTAAACCCTGAGCCCCGAATTGTGCGTGCTTAGGGTAGTGAACGAGATTGCAACGCGGAGGATTCAGAGTTAATTCAGCGTTCTGGCACCTGCGACAATCCAAAGTGAATCCGACCCCGTGCCCTGCACCCTGTCAGTTTCAACCCGAAGCCCATCCATACCCCTCAAAGAACCTGCAACCTAAACCTGTAAACTCCACAGCCTAAAATCCTAGAGCCTTAACAATAAACCTTAGAGCCCAACCCTAAATTCCACAAGACATGCATCAAGCAGTCCCCATGGAGGAAGCCTGTAATTCAAAATAAGTGTTGGAGATACTTATGAAAACAGCTATACAAGGGTTAGAAGTCGATGATGTGCTAATTGCTAAGTTATCAGGCTTCGACATTGCCCTTGTTGTGCTAGGGCTTGGAGTTCCAGACTCACCGCAACAATCCATATCCGAGCAATACATCTCAGCATCTGTGGTCCCTTCATCTTATTGGGGGTTAGCAGGGAATAAGGGAATATAATCCCATATCTATCATCCCTGAAAAATAGATTCCCTTATTCCCTACTAACCCTAGCTGAACCCTAAACCCTAAATAGCAGCTTCCATGTTCTTTTCCATCATCCCTATATAACCCAATTGTGTGAAACCTCTATACTCCCTTATTCCCCAGTAACCCCCAGCAAGTTATAACCCTCAGGGTATAGGCCCCGGCATGCATCGCTTCCGTCGCGCTTCAACGAGCTGCCTTGAGGGTCGCAGGTTCTGAAGCTAGGACGTAGGGTTTAAGATTTAAGGTTTAGGGTTTAGGATTTGGGGTTTAGGGTTTAGGATTTAGGGTTTAGGGTCCAGGGTTTAGGGTCCAGGGTTTAATTAAGGTTCAGGGACCCTAAGGATGACGAAGCAGAATTTCAGACTATTTACAAATCTCTCCCGCTTCCGCATGTTAATCCTACTTGGGGGTCAGGAGACTTGGTAACAAGCTATTAGTGGGAATAACAAACTACTCCTTATCCCGCTAATTCTGACTCTACAGGTTACCCCAAGCTCAAAACCTAATCAGCTACCAAGTAGACCCTAAATCGTGTAGAACCTGGAACAGTTTAGTTTAGGGTCTCGGGCTCGAGGTTAGAGGTTCAGGGTGTGAGGTTTAGGACTCAGGGTTTAAGGCTCATACATGGTTGAGGGTTTGGGTCTAGAGTTTGGGCAGGTAGGGTACTAGGAGTGGGCTCCAGGCAAAGGTATTGAAATTGAGTTTTATGAATTGAGGCGCATCCAAAGTGCCGTGTTTAGAGTCGAGAGCTTCAAGGACTACTGCTTTGATATCTTTAGCGCTCAAAAGAGATAGGGCCTGGAAATTTCAGTTGTCAGATGCGCCACAAACAGCCCAAGCCCGCCGTGAGCCTCCCACAAGTTGCCCTGCCATCCGTGAGGAAAACAATATGATATGGGTTTAAGTAACCCCTATATTATAACCCCTGTATAACCCATATATAACACCCAAATAAGCCCTGTACAATCCTAACCACTAAACCATACATAACCCCTAAAGAACTTTCATGTCAACACCTGGGACTGCTATCAGCTGCATGCCAGTCCTGGCCCATTTCAGCGCCTGCATTCTACAGTAGGGCTTACAAGTCTTGTTTGGAGGCCTCTTCGAGGTAAGCCACTGTCAGGCTACAAACTGTGGGAAGTATTCAAGCCTCTAACTTAGGCAAGCCCTGGTGACACGTTCAGCCCTCAGCCTCCCGCCTGATCGCCAATATCGCATCAGTCTGCTCTCCCGCAATGATAAACCTCCTCACGCCCCTAACTATATTGTATATTGGGGATATTGATTATTAGGGGGTAGGGGTTTGATATTGGGGGAGGGAGTAGTTTCAAGGAGAACCTTCACCGTTACCGGAGTGTCTGAGGTTTTAGGGCTCAGTATATAGGATTGATGAGCACAGTTGGAGTTGAGTTGTGCACCAGGTTCACCACAAAGCTTGGTCAACAGGGCCAGGAGGAACAGGCAGCGTAGCGCTCCGTAAGACTTCCCAGGACTCCCTGGTACCCCCGTTTTGGAACTCTGACAGTTATCCGGCAACCCCCTCCAAGACATGGTGAAGATAACGACATTGAAGCCTGGACACTGAGATTCCGGCTGCTTGCCGTATCGCAATTCATCAGAAGTCATGCCTTCGCAAGGCCCCAAAGGGAAGCTTTTCAAAATTTGTGCCAAAATGATCCCTGGTGTCCACACAATCCAAGTAGTAGCTAAGCAGTCCGCCTCTTAAGGGTCCCCTCATGCGCTAGGGGCTCACATGCAAACTACAAGAATCCCTTCACAACGAAAGTGGCTTGGTGAAGCCGCAAGTGGCGTTCTCATGACAGAAGCAGGCAAGTTGCGCACGGGCCGTACACAACAAAGACTGACATAGAGAGTCTGAACCACTTGGATTCAATCTTCAACACCTTCGTATGCCCTGAGGAAAATTTCACACTTAAGCATACATAATCTTGTCTTTTCTCCAATTGTGGCATCGGCATCATTGAAACCTCGCTTGAACCCTTTTTCTGCGCGTTCAACACACGTCAGACACACTAAGTGCCTGATCATGTTTGGGTCGCGGCCGGTTCACAATGTAGGGACCCTAGGTGCTTACAATGAGGGCTCTTGATTTTTTGATTTGGCGGTACATTAAAATCCTCTAGATCGTTTGGGACACTTACACCAATCATTTTCTATCACATCTCCAGGGAGTTGCGACCTGGTACCGAATTGCGACATGATTGCTGCGCATGTGTGTTTCGCAAAATTTAACGCGCACGAGTTCAAGTCAACATGTTGTTCATGCAAACTGGCGGGTTGGGGCATACCCTGGAACTGTGCCATTTCCTCTTGGCACAAGGGGCATCCACACCTCAGCTAATGAGAGCAAACCCAAGATCTACTAAACTCTGCCTGCTTAGTGCCCTGAGTCCTTACTAAGGTCCTGCACCCCCTGACCCGTAGCCCTTCCAACACATAACTCCGCCCAAGCCAGGGATAATCTGGGGATGGCTCCAGACGTAAACCCAGAACAGAATCATGGCAGATCTGGTACTACGAGGAACTATCACTGAGGAGAGCCTGTCATCCGAAAAAACTCCAAAGGAGCACCTGGCTATAGTCATCACTTATGAGCCGCTCGACCTTAATGCGAATTGCGACGGGAGTATGGGGCCCAATTGCGTGTTCCATGAGGACGCTGTTGAAAAACTACCAACTTCCAAGCCATGAACTTATCAGCAGCCTCAACCTTGAAGCCCAACACCCCAAACCCTGAACTGTGGCCTGGGTTGAGGCAGGAACTGTCCACCTGCAAGGCTTACTGAAAAGCTCCAGGGCTTGCTTCGCTATGAACTGTGAAGCCCAAGTTTTGGGTCAAGGACTCAGGGTTTACTGCTTGGGGTTCTCCCTGTTCTAGAAACCGTGGAATAAAGGGAGCCTAAGATAGGGTTTCAAGGGACTGGGGATGCGAAGGGACATTGAGGATTTCTTCGGAGGCGTGGATGAATATGTAGTGTCCAGACACATTACTAGCATTTACCAGCCAAAGCGTCTTGCTCCTGTGAGTTTGGAAGCCCACTCCATGCAGCCATGGTACAAAGCTTCCAGTTGGGCTTGGGGTTGAAGGTTTTGGATGAGTAGATGTCTCTGAATAGTTAGCACGCTCCAAAACAAGACATAGAGTAGATACTGGTTGCCAAGTCACTATCACATTGTGCAGTCTCCTTCACTTATGCAGCTGGTTTCTGAGCACATTGTGCTTTCATCGTACTGCCCCAATATCATGGATGGACGCAGCTGCACCGAGTCCGAACGTTCTCAAACAATACGTGCGCCAAGAACCCAAGACTTAAACTCCACACTCTGAACCCCAAACTCCAAACGCTATATCTGAGACTGAGGACCCAAACCCCAAACACTACACCCCAAACCCTGGTGTGACTGTAGACCCCGAAGTTCTTCCCCGAGCTTCCCACATAGGCACGAACGTTGGCAGTGCGAACCTTTGGCCAACTTCAAGGATTCAAGATTTGACTTACTGAGGAGCGAATAGAGCCACGGTACCCGGGTATGATGCGGGCATATTTGGGGATTACAAAGGGACGGCTTTAGGGATCGGAATTGGGTGCTCTCTCGCAACGGAGTTTCCGCGGGTTGTACATGTTCAAGAGAGAGTTTATACGTAATTGACGTCTGTCTAGGATATGAGGTTAGGTAGGTTGTAGGGCTACTGGTTTCTCAAAGTCGCCGGTCCCTGAAGGAAGGACTAGCTTGTTTTCGTGGCAGATTGAACTATTGAACAATGCCCACTCCAGGCTTCGGCAGAATGAGATGTAAACAAGTAAGATTCGGGTTCGCTGCTCTGAGGCTGAAGGATTAAACTCACTATTACGTAACTGGGGTTCAGGGAGCAGAGGTTGTATGCCCAATACAGTTGAACACAAAACTGGCAACATGAGGGTTGGGTTGCTACTACGGCTACTAAGGTAGATTCCTACGGTCCTCCAAGACATCACATAGGAAGCCTGTTTTTGTTTGAATGAGTGCTTTTGGGGATCTACCTTACTTCAACTACACTACCCATGAAGACCAGCAGAGTTGGTTTCAGAATTGTCGTGTTCGAGAAGTGCAGTTTCAGTTTAGTTTCTGATTTTTTTAGTTTCCACATCGGGCAGTTTAGGGTCCAAATCGGGGATTCTTAGTTTCTGAGTCAGGGATCTTGAGTTTCTGAATCGGAACTTTAGTTTATGAATCGGTGACTTTTAGCTTCTGAATCGGATTTTTTAGTTTCTGAAGCGATGAGTTTTAGTTTCTGAAGCTGGGACTTTAGTTTCTGAATCGGGGCTCGTTCTTTCTTCGTTTCCCTTCTCTGAGAGTCTTTCTGAGCCCCACGCTGAGTCCATCAGGAGAATCCGGAACTACCACAGCGGCAATGAGAGCTCTTCATCTAAACTGAGCCTTAAACGTCTGCAGGTGACGCTCCTAAACCTGAGCTCTCATCACATTCAGATGTCAATCCCAAAAAGGTACATGCAGCAAAGCAGGGACACAGCTTGAGCTGAGCGGAAACCAAAGCCTTACGTCACGGGGCTAGCTTATGGTGATTTTGAGCTCTAGGAACTCTGCAGACGGAGCTTTCGCGTCGCAACATCCAAATTCCTTCTACAATGCCCTCCCCCAGTAAAGCATCTTCCCTGCCCAGTGAATGCTGCAGGCTCCAGCATGGCAGACAAGCTGCAAAGAAGCTATGAGCTGAGTTCTACTACTCTGTCAGCTGTTGCGCACTGGCTCTGCTCGCAAGCAGGTTTTGATTTGGCTAGCCTTCAGACTAGAAGACCCACCCAAGACATGGGGAGGTCCTTCTTGAAACTTCAGCACTGGAAACAATGGAAGAGCGAACGTGAAAGAAAAATCCATCTCATGCTGTTCTTTGAGTTTGGGTTTGGAGAAACTTCAGTTTAAACGGCCTGGATGATACGGAAAACCATGGAAGACCTTCCGGCTGGCAGCCAAAGCAAAGACTGACCCTGCTTGCCGTTTGCTATGTCCCTTCTCTTCTGTCCCCATCAACCCATTCCCCCCTGCCCCAGAAAGCACCCTTACCCGAGACCTTTCGTCCTAAACCGTAAGTAGATTACATGTTCTTTTCCATTCTCCCAGTCCTTACAAAGCACCAGGGATGAGAAGCAGCAACTGTGACTTGTGGTTTGTCAGCCATCCCTTGAGGATCGATGCAAAGCTAAACGAATTCAGGGATGCAAAGTCAGCAGCCTTGCTGCGACATCTGAGAGTATCCCGCCCCTGTGGCGGGGATCAAAGTACATGTTGATGTCTATGTTAGGGCTCCTCATTTGCGGAAGAGCTCTACCAAGCAGTGCCTCTGTAATCCCCATATGTGCCTGGGGTCCAAAAGAGCTCCCCCATCTAAAGGAACCGCATGTTGCCCTGCCAGCCGTATGCGCGGATGATGTTCCTGGCACGCGAGAGGTGTTCAAGGATTCCAAGGACGTCTGAAAGCATGATCTCCTGCTGCGTAGTCAGCAAGGAAAGAACAAATTCTAGGGATTGCTTTCAGGGATTGCTTAAGAATTACTATCGGGATCATTTTGGGGATCCGTGCTTTTGTTCCCTACCAAGCCCCACATCCGAACCCAACGTAAATCCTACACTACAAAATTGCTTCCATTTTCCCATTCCCTGTAAGCACCAAGTACATGAAGCCTCCTCTGCTTCTGAAGGCGTCCTTCGCCAGCTCAGCAGACCTGCACCTGAGGCAAGTCAAACAATGCAATAGGGAACTCACATTTTCTAGAGCTCTTTGGAAAATATTATTCACATATGACTACAGGTCCTCCTGAAATTGACAAGAAAAAATTGAAACCTCATATCTAGCAGGATCTAGCAGGTAATTTGGTGCGGCCTGCTTTGGTTTTCAGCCCTCTCAAAACAGTCTCACAACAAGGAAAGCGACACGCAGCTGTTACACCCCATCCTTGAAGATGTCCAGGTTGCAGATCAGAAACGCGACCAATGGCTTCACCTTGTCATCTCATCTCTGTACAACTCGCCATCCAACAGATGCAAGCGGGCGTGATTCAAGAGCATGGATCTTCCAGTCTGTCAGCCAAGGCCAAGGCAAAGTGACTTCGACCATCAGTGACCATCACAACTTCATGTTGCTGGTTGAACCTGCAGGTCAAAAAGAAATCACCTGCAGACAGACTTCCGCGGCAAGGATGTGCGGGCCTCCAGTATCTCTGCACCAACGACAATGCCTCCGTCAGCTCCCAGAACCTCGTTCTTCATCCAGTGTATTGACAATCCAGAAAGAACACTTGCTGGTGCTTGAGGCAGAGTGGAGGAAAAACATGTAACGTAATATGCAGTACTGGTGTTTTCGTAAAATGTTTGGGGAACACCGTGCCCCCGAGAGCACCAGAAACACGAAGCAAGTCTTGCCAAGGAGCATCCTTCAAGTGGCACAAGTCATGCCTGCCACAAATGGGCAAAATGGGAAGCCATCGCGGACCCGAGGGATATGCAGGAAACAGAAAGTAATTGGGGTACTTTCACCGAAGCTCTCAAATACCCGCTGTGATCCATTCACACCTTCTCTAAGCCCCAGTAGTCAATAAAGCCATTCCCAACAAAGCGCCAGAAAGATGAATTTTCCTCATCGGCAAAACCATACACCGATCCTCATTGGGATCGTATTAGAGTTTTCTAATTTCATATTCCTTGTTGGGTTGGAAGAGAAGGTGAATAGCTATGATAGAAAAAGTCCTAATCATAATTCCTACTACAGAAGCAAGTACCGTCCAAACTATAACAATTAGTCATGCAAGTCATCGCAAGTCTACAAATCAAAGCTGAAGGGAGCCTGCCCTGATCCCGGCCACCTCGTGCCGTGTTGGCCTCTCTGGAAAACTCTTGAGCACTTGTTGTTGCAGCCAGAGCAAGGTACTGGTGCGTAGAAGGGAGAGTAGAGGGGGAGCGGATAAATCCAGGATATAGCTTTTTCCTATAGCATCTTCCAAACTATTTTCGCTCCTCCATTCCCCCCTCTTTAGCACCAGTATGGCGAGTCGCCTCTAGGACAGGCGAAAATTTTGTTCCCGCAAACAGCCTGAACCTGGCAGTAGATGCTGCAATCCAGCCAAACTCCGTGGTGCTTAGTAGGGCATCGAAGCATGGGTTATAGCATGTTATAGCTATCTGGTCTAGGTAGAGGGGTTCTCTAGGGACTACTATAGGAATCGCTCCCTCATTCTCTATGAAGCACCACGTAGAGCGCGTGCACTAAATACTAAGGACATCGCCGGACGTGGACGTTCGGAACGGTACAGACCAAGTATAAGCCTTTCAGTCCGGATGGATGATCGCGCACTCACACATCTAGGGGTCTCTGAAATCTTGGATCCCTTTGCGGTGGTACCTGTGATGAGCATCACAGACTTTTGAGGTGCATAAGCAGGACCCTACTTCTGGAAACTGCCACAGGTCCAAACGCAGCATGATGCTGTGGCAACGAGCTTAAAGCAATCCTGGGCATCGCGCTGCAGAAGCCCGGAACTTGGCGCAGCGGGCTGCCGTCAGGGAAAAACTTCAAGCGACAGTACACCCCAGCGACCTGGCGGAGCAGCAGGCATTCACATATGAGCTTTAGTCAAAACTCCTTAAAGGGGGGGTGATAGAGTGGGATGTTATGGGGACTACTACGGGGGATACTAGGAGTTTAGACTGTAGACTATAGCCTACAGCTCATGTTATGCGAATGAGGTATCAATCCTCTCTGGACTCTCTCTGGTGCCAAGCACGCAGTGAAGAAGTCGGTCAGGGAGCCAGTTACTGGGATAAGGGATACCTGCCCTCACCACTTACCAAGCACCAGCTAATCTTTCTGCTGGCCTCCATCTCGCCAGTGACCAGAAGAGCACCTCCAACTCCTGGACTTTCTCTTGCCGCCTCTGCCAGCATGCTTGCTACTTGCTGGTTCTTGAATGGGAGGGGGGGAATGAAACTAGATTGTACCGGGTGGGTACATTTGGGGATTACAGTACATAGTGATGGTTATCGGGATCCACTCCCCACGACAATGTATAGTATGCATACCAAGAGCACGCTACATTGTGCAAAACAGAAATAGAAGTGCCTGGAGCGACTTTGCTGTCAGCACCCACTCCAGCTTGTTGCCCATCACAGCTGGAAAGCCTGAGACGGTGGACCTGGAACCTTGCAGGACAAGTCTCTCGCACAAAATACTAACAAACATGTTAAAAAAAGCAATCTCTGACCAAAACACTGAGTCAGAGCACCTCTGTCGTTCCGGTCGCGAGGGTTACTGAGTCGAGGTTTGACCTTGCCGACACTTCCGGGTCCGATGCAGCAGCACCTGCTTTGCTGTGAGTCACTGGCCGGCCCATCGTTGCCGGGGCCTTGTTCTGGACTTTTGGCCTTGCGACTACTGCCTCAAAATGTGCACAAATCTTAGTTCTTGTTGGGATGTTAGTGTGCAACATTCACAGGACCGAGCACTGGCTGGCAAAACTAAGTCCTTGACGAGGCGAACGTGAGCTTGCCATTGAGGTAGTCAGCTTCACTGCGCTTCTAACAGACTTCGGAGTTGTGTGTGAAGGAAAATCTGTCGGCTTGTCCGGCTGGCTGGAAGACAATTCCTCAAAGCTTTCCAGGCCTGCCATGCATGGGATCACAACAGCCGATCCACGCAAGCAATTGTACTCATAGAATGGTAGCATTGAATGATGCTGTGAATGGCTCACCAAAGAACTTCTTTGCTCAGCAAGCAACACCTTCAGGCAATACAGCACGAGGCGGGGCATCTGCATCTACCTGCGGCTCACATCATCGCTTGCATCTTTCAAACAAGCTGATGCAATCAAGGCGGCCTGCGCTTCATGGCGATGGCTTTGCGACAGTTCTCTTCGAGTTTGTACCACCTCCCAGGTTGTGTGAGCGATGCCCGGTATGCTGCGCACGTGGTACCTGTACGTTTGACATCTGACCGCACTGGTTGAAAAGGAATTGCGCAATAAAGCACTGTCTTAGAACGAATGATGCTAGGCCGGGCCTGTCTTCCCAATCCCTCCACCTCCCGACGCAGAACTGCAACATGACCTCGGTCCTGCTGTTTCACACAGCAACATGAGCATCAACACAGTTGACCTCTTGCGGGGAAGACTTTGCTCACCGAAGGCTTTCTTTTGCCCATTGATTTTTGCTCAGCTAAGCTGCAGCTTTAGAAGATCCTGAACGCTTCGCGTTGAGTGAAACACATTGCAGATTTGCAGGCCCAGGACGGGCACCATGTACTTGAGGATGGTCTCCGTCATACCAGCTTGGGCCTATGTCTTCCCTGAAGTCTCCCTAAACGTACTTTACGGGAAAACACTTTAGAAAACCGTTGGGAAATCTTGCCCACAATGCCGCCCTCACAGCGCACCCGTCGAAAAGCTGACTCCCATTGGGCGATAGAACCTAAAGATCATGTGAAAAAAGCTGCAAAACTCCTTCCACAACATGCCTGCCAACTGAGGGGGCGTCTGTGACTCAATCAAAGGCCGATGCGCGAATGGTGAGGATGCATACGTCTTCCTTGCGTCTTATGCTTGAAGAGCTTCGAGCGGGTCCGAAGTTTATGCTGGCTGTGTTTGGAAATAGACAGGATTTGTCGGCAAGGCTCGTGGCAGGTGCTGCCGTCCAACCAATTTCTTGCGCCGTCGTCAGGGCACGGCCATACCTACATGAGAAGTTACTGGGTCACCATCAGCACCGGGCGCATCTGACTTCATAAAGTGCGTGTCTTATGCTGCACTTGCGTGGTTGGATTCCCTGGTAAGGAATGGGAAACGTAACCCATATACACGTGTACATACATACATACATACATACATACATACATACATACATACCTACGTACGTACGTACGTACGTACGTACGTACATACATACATACATACATACATACATACATACAGAAATGGACTGCCATTCCCGCATAATGTTGTCTCGGGCTTTACGAAGAGTGTTAGAAGGAAAGGATACAGGCTCTTCACTAGGAATGGGAGACGTTCAAAATCAAAACTTAAACAGTCACAAGGATCGTGCCACAAGCTGCTCCATGCCCGTGACTGTTTCCATTTTGACGTCTTGTGGACGGATTCAGATGCCAAAAGCCACCATCCTATGAGGGCCAGTAATGCCAGAAGCTTGACCGCACATAGGTCATAGACCATAGGCACGGAAGGTTCTCAACACCTTGTCAGATAGCGCCCGATATAGCAGGGCCGTGTTGCAACGGAATCAAAAAAACGAGCAACATTTGGACAATCCCTTCAGGGATGATGTTACAGGGATACTTTCTCAGAACTATCCACGTGTTTAGCATAAGGTCCCTCATGCTGCTTTGCAAGCATTGGCACGGGCCCCCATAGACATAGTACACCCGTCAGTAAATGCAAACCCCCTGACAGCCACCGCTCACGCCCGGCTGTCCTTGCTTGAGGATGCATTTGTCGGGCAGATTTCCGAGCAGAACTGATTTGCGAGTTTTCCAGACAACTGGGGTCCCCGCTACAAATCTCTAAATTTACTGCATCACCCAGCCCTGAGACATACATTCTGTCTGTACATCCCTGCATCCTCTGTGCCGCACCTCTCCACCGGACCTCCTTTTCTTGCTTCCAGCCTTAAGTAGGCTCCTGGGCTGGAACGTCAACCCGGTTTAGCATTCAGGGGTTAGGAAGGTGAGCTGGGGGTCTAGGGTGTAGGGTTTGGGATCTAGGGTTCAGGGATCAGGGCCTGCAGGCGGCTTACTGGTGCGTTCAGAGGGGAGTGGGGGAGTGAATGGGTATCATAAACCGGAATATATGTGGGATTAAACAAGGATAGCTACTCCCATCACCTCCCGTGAAGCAACAGCAAGTCCAGCAAAAGGTGCAAAGATGACGAAAATAGACGTCTAGGGTTAGGGTTTAGGCTTCTCGAAATTACCTCCTAGAATCCCGAATTGAATAAGGAATATCAGCAGGAGGCAATTACTACATGGTTATCCATTCGATTCTCCGCCATTGAGATGGATGCTAGTGGGAGACGATTAGCATCCGTCTTGTTCAGGCAAGCGGCCTCTTCCCTGACCTGGCTACAAGTACATGTTGAGGGTTTGGGGCAGAAGGACACATATAAAATGGTTCTGAAGCATCCGTTAGGGGGAGTGGATCCCCATACCCCCCCCTATAATACTACCTATATTTCCTCACCCAATCTTAGGCACCAGTGAGCCAAGGAAGGTCAACAGCTTTGAATCACCTTCTCCAGTAACGCCGAATCGAAGCAGTTTCTGCGGATCAACGTCGAAGCCTTAACAACAGGAGGAGGAGCATCACAGGATGAAACACGTCTACCTGGTGCTTGCTAGGGCATGAGGGAATGGATCCCACGGCAGTCCCTGAGATATAAAAAATAGTGGCGAGAGTAAACCGTCCCTGTAAACTGTGACCCATTCCCCCACTCCCTCTAAGCACCTCACCACGGAAATGTTGCTCTCCAGACACGCAATAATGCAGAAATGCCACGGGGCTTGTTGTCATGTGGATGTGGATTTGGGAAATGCCCCAGGGACTGCTCCAACCTTACATCAAGCTGCTTGCGCTTCAATTCTGCTTGGTGCCTAGTAGGAAATTAGAGAATGGATCCCTCAAGTAGTTTTTTTTTGTAGTTCCCTAAGAACCCACATCCTCATTCCCTACTAAGCACCACGTAAACCACGATGAGACCCTGAAAGTCTATACGCTGTCAAGTTGCTGGCTCAGCTGACACCTTTGCTAGTCAGATTGGGAGCTGCTGGGTCACTGGCGTTGCTCCACTCACTGGTGCTTCACGGGGAGGCTGAGTCATAGTGGATCCACACAACAATCCCCTTACAACCCCATCTTTACCTCTCATGACTTTAGCATCTTCTTCCCTCCTACACTTCCCTGCGCTTCCCTGCACTTCCCTGCAAGCACCAGGAAGTCTATGGCCAACACGACCTGCCATGACCTGCCATGCTGCTCAGTTACGAGCGCTCCCTTTTCGGCACGACGACGGTCTTGACCTCAAGGAGGCAATGTGTGAAGGACTGAGACACCAGCGTCAAGGACAACAAAGTACAAACTGAGCACATCTCAATGCCCAAGGCTTCCTCTGCGGCGGCTTTTTTGGCCAACTGTTCCTCCCGAATCTTCTTGAAATGCCTCAGAAAATTGACCATGGGAAGCCCAGCGATTCCTATCTGACTTTTCATGTACACACTGCAATCGTGGGTGCTTGTTCTCTTTGTCAATCGTCTCCTTGATTACTTGTGACAGCATGTAATCCTGAGTCCACGGGGAGACTCATCCAGACCAAAATTAGACATGCATAGTCACAACTTCAGGAACACGTCTTTCTGCGTCATTGCATCCATCGCCATTATCTTGTCCAGGGATGGGGAGCGCGGCTCAGATCAGCAACTTGGAACTTTGAGCCGGCTAGGAACCTGCTGGTAAGCAGTCGCAGCAGTACACTGTAACTGTAGAAGGGGTTTGGTCAGGATTGCCTAGGTACCGCTGTCGGGATCCAGCAATGACAGCATGATTTGGCTGGGACTGTCCAAAGTGTATATGCCTGCGACAATGTCCTCCTCATGATCGTGCCGAAGCTTGTGGACTTCCGCAGTAAGGTCAGCCTGCGACGCGGGCCAAGCCTCACAAGAAGCAGGCGCTAAATCTGCTCGGATGGCATGGGGATAGTTGTAGCCCTTCCCACGAAGAGACCCCCCATTTAAGGGAAACCTCTCAACCCAGGCGCTACATGCACTGCAAAGCTTAACAGAGAACAGGACGTGAGCAAACCCCCAGCCTGGCCTCTAACGCAGAGAGTCTTCGCCAGGTGGCTGGCAGAAGCATCAGGTTGACACAACAGCATTAACTCAGGCATCTGGGGGCTTTCTATAAACTCAGTTGTTGGCATCCCCCCACAATGGGGATTACAGTACTTTGTGATCTATGTTGAGGCCCCCCCAGGTATGGAAACTAACATATTATCAAGGCATTATGTAGCAGGCCTGACCGATCCTCTCTGCTTTCTCGGACGACGGCAGCGACCTGCTTCACAGGAGCCATGAGAATCATGTGCGTGCATTGGTTCTTCCAACAGGAG